TCTTGGACTTAGTAAATGTTTTCTAATGTAGCATTTACATTTCTTTAATGATTTTTTTCCATGTATGTTTTCACTTGTATCCTTGGTAGTTCCTCTAGGAACTTACAATGTACTATTTTTATTTATTATTTATTTTTTAGAGAGGGTCTCACTCTGTCACTTGGGCTAGAATGCAGTAGTGTAATCATGGCTCACCAGAGCCTCAACCTCCTGGGCTCAGGCAATTCTCCCACCTCAGCCTCCTAAATCCCCTTCTGACTACAGGCACACACCACAATGCCTGGCTAATTTGTGGAGTTTTTTTTGTTTGCTTGTTTGTTTGTTTTTGTAGAGCTGGGGTTTCACCATGTGGTCCAGGTTGGTCTTAAACTCCTGGGCTCAAGCAATCCATCCACCTCACTCTCCCAAAGTGCTGGGACTACCCCTCCCCCCTTTTTTTAAAATCTTTAAGCTCTGTTGGACTTGAAACAATGTATATCTTATCAGAATGCGCATCTGATTTATACTCACTCAATTCCACTGGAAATAGAAACATTATTCACACATAGCTCTAATTCCTTCCCCCTGCCTTTTGTGGTATTGCTATATACACTATATCTATAAATGTTAGAGGTCCAACAATAATCTGTCACAATTATTACTTTATATAATTTTATGTATACCTTAAAAGAAGTTGAGAGAAGAACCAATGTATATTTATAGTTTTCTTATATTAACCTTCTTGTTTATTATTTTTGGTTTTCTTCATTTATTCTTATGAATTTGAGTTACTATATGGAGTTATTTCCTAGCTGAAACACAGATCTGTCCCTATCTTATCTCCTTTTTCCTATTATTGGCAACTATATTACATTTCCACATTTCATAGGCCCAACAATATATTATATACATAGTATATAGTACTGCAGTAAAATGCAGATTTTACTGGGATACAGCTTCAACAGTTCTTAGGGAAATTTATAGCTGTTAAGTGCCTATATAGATATGCATGATATATACACAACACAAAAGAGGAGGAGAAAATATGCATTTATAGTGTCATTACTACATAATTATTTTTACTGGTGCTCTTTGATTTTTCATGTGGATTAAAAGCATCATTTGGAGTAACTTGCTTTCAGCCTGAAGAACTTCCTTTAGTGTTTCTTATAAGGTGGGTCTGCCAGCAGCAAATTCTCTGAGTTTTTACCTCAGAACACTTTACTTCAAAGAACCTTCAGTTTTGAATAATAGCTTGGCTGGACATAGAATTGTTGGTTAACAGTTTTTTGGTTTAAGTGCTTTGAATATGTTGTCCCACTGGCTTCTTGCCTCCATTTTTTTGCTGAGAAGTTAGCTACAAATATTATGGGAAAGTTCCCTTGTAAGTTGATGAGTCACTTATCTCTTGCTGCTCTCAAGATTTTTTCCTTGTCTTTGGTTTTTAGCATTTTTACCAAGATATTCCGTTTTGTGAATCTCTTTGCATTTATTCCATGTGGAGTTCACTGAACTTCACATATATTATATAATTATTGTTTTTTGTATTTTGTATAAATTATTGTTTTTAAATAAATTTGGGATATTTTTGGATATTATCACTTAAAATTTTTTTCTAGTCATTTCTCTTTCTCCTCTCCTTTTGATACTCCTATTACAAGCATGTTGGCACACTTAATAGCTTCCCATATTTTTCTGAGCCTGTTTTTTTCTACATTGTTTTTCTTCATGTTCTTTTGAGTAATTTCTACTAATCTATCGTCAAGTTCATTAACTCTTTCTTTTGCCAGTTGAAATGTACTGTTGTGCCCCACAAGTGAGTTTTTCATTTCAGTTACTGTGATTTTCCTTTCCAGAATTTCCATTTAGTTCTTTTTAAAATGATTTCTATCTCTTTATTAATATTATCTATTTCATGTAAAACTATCATCACGCCTTAATTTCTTTAACCATGATTTCCTTTAGTTTGCTGAATATATTAATAATGGCTACCTTGAAAGCTCTGTGCTAAATCCAACCAGTCACTCTCACAGGTAGTATCTGTTGCTTGCTTTTTTAATGGGATGTCTGGGTCCCATTTTCTTGTTTCTCTGAATGTCTTATAATTTTTGGATAGAAACTAGATACTTGAGATAATATGCAGTAACAATGCTGAGTACTGGCCTCCCCACTGCAAGATTTGTTATTGTTTATGCTTCTTTATTGGGTGACTGGCTAGTTGATTTTTGTAGATTCCATTGTCCTACCCCCAGTGTTAAGCCTCTGGTGTTGCTCCTCAGGGAGCTCAGACTTGAGATTGCTCACTGTAACCTTGGGATGAGAGTGGTTTGGGCAGGGCTCTCGCTGACTCTTGGCTTCTCTGACCACATCTAGCTTGTTAAATTACACTAATTGCTGTCTGACTGCTGTAATGATTTCAACAATGCACTACAATATAAACTGCTCCATAGTCTAAGTCAATCAAACTTGGGTAACTTTGAAGTGAAAGTTCCAGAGGTCAAGTGAAAGTTCCTTGGTGATCTCCTCCCAGGTGTGTTTTTCCCTAGTTTCCTCAGGCAAACTAGGATGTCTATAGTCAAGTCTAAATGTCCAATCAACCTACCAATCTTCCCCAATTACCTTTCACCACAACCCCCACTATTTTTTTTAGAGGAACCTTAGGCTTAAACTTTTCTACACTCTGTCGTGAATGAAGCCCATTCCTTTAACAAGGCTGCTTTAAGGCCAACTTTTCCCTGTAGGTAAAATCTCTGAGACATGGCTTTGGAGCTGGAAGTAGAGACAATAACACACTGTGTCTCACTGACACCCCAGGGTTAGTTGCTCTGCCCAAAGTAAAGCCTCTGTCCCGGGAGCAAGGAGCTGGGCAGAAAAACGAGGCCCCCAACTCTAAGTCACACTTGGCCAGAAACAGGCATGGGGAAGCAGGATGAGAAATACTGATATCTTGCTCCTGCTCTGGAAGATAGCCCAGAATGGGAGTCGGTGGGGGGACAGGGATTCTTGTCTTCTTCACTGCACCAATATGGAGAGGAGTTACCAACTGTCTCAGCTGGGAAAGGGTAAGGAAAGGGCAGGTCTTGTTACCAATAACAGGTTCTTGCTACTCTGACCAAATTTTAGTAAATTTTCTTGAATAAATGTTTTTTCATTTGCTGTATTTCCTTTAAAATACTTTCAGAGACCTTAAATGTTTTATTTTCATAATTGTCACCAGTTCTGCTGGGGAGTAGAAAGAACATGCTGTCATCCTACAAGTCCCTCTGAACCAGTGAGCTTTTAAAAATATAAATTACATCATGATTCCATTCAAAACTTTCCAACATTTCCACTTTTTTTTTTTTTTTTTTTTACAAAGCCCCACACTTCCTACTAAGCTCCACAGGGTTCTACACAATCCAGCCCATGCCCACTAATGGATCTCATCCTTTACTGCTTTTTACTTTTTGTTCACTCTGCTTTAACCCCCGTCCTAGCAAGGGTGGTTCTCCTCATGGTCTATTTGCCGCTCCCACTGGAAAGCTCTTTTCCCAGATTTTTCCATGGCCTTCTTCCTCACTTCATTTGGGCCTCACCTCAAATGTCATCTCAAGACCTTCTCTAAAACAGCACCTGTCATTCACTCTTAATTTTTTTAAGTTTTACTGTTTTTTATTTATTCCTCTATACATTTATGAGTACGAGTAAGGGTTGTTTTCTTTTTTGAGACAGGATCTCACTCTGTCACCCAGGCTGAAGTGCAGTGGTGTCATCATGGTTCACTGCAGCCTCTACCTCCTGGCCTCAATCGATCCTCCCACTTAAGCCTCCTGAGTAGTGGGGACCAAAGGTATGTGCCACTACGCCTGGTTAATTTTTTAAACTTTTGTAGAAATGGGGTTTTGCCATGTTCCCCAGACTGGTCTCCAACTCCTGGGCTCAAGTGATCCGCTTGCCAAGGCCTCCCAAATTACAGGTGTGAGCCACAACACCTGGTAAGTTTTCAAAATTTTGACAAAATATTTTTATTATACCTTAGGTTCTAGGGTACATATTCACGACGTGCAGGTTTGTTACATATGTATACATGTGCCATGTTGGTGTGCTGCACCCATTAACTCATCATTTACATTAGGTATTTCTCCTAATGCTATCCCTCCCCCTTCCCTCCATCCCATGACAGGCCCAGGTGTATGATGTTCCCCATCCTGTGTCCAAGTGTTCTCATTTTGACAAAAATTTTTAAAAGTCAAGGAACAATCATAATGTTGTTCACTCTTTATCCACATATCCTGTCTTGTTATTCTTCACAGCACCAAAATTTACTTGATATATTTATTTTCTTATTTGCTTACAGTCTATTTCTCCCACTAGAATTAAAGCTCTAGAAAGGTAGGGAGCTTTGCCTGTGTTGTTCACCACTATACCTCCAGTATTTAGAACAATAATTGGCACATAGTCACCACTGAGTAAACATCTGTTGCATGAAAAGATGTTAACAGGAGTTAATACATTTTTAAAGCTACTTATAGTGTAAATGACAACTTTAACAGATAATCTGTTTTTATGTATATCAATATAGAGTAGAACAATAATAGGGCATTGGAAAAGAAGTAATAGTGGCTGAGGAATTACAAACAAAAATGGCCAGGTATTTAAAGTTGTTTCAATAATCCTAAAACGGATTTTCGTAAATAGCATCTTTGACCTGCCAGTGCCCTTACATTAGGTAACCCAGGACCAAACAAAACAAATACTTGTAGTTCAATGGAAAAGTGAAAACAATATTAAAATGACAAATATTTATACTATAACCACTAGTTTTGACACTTAGGGGTATTGAAAAATTTAGGAAAAGCTAATTAGAGTGAAAATCTTTAATCAAATATAAACTTCTCACTAAGTTCAAATAAAATTCTTTAACATTAAAGAAAAAGCAGTATATTACTTCCATGTTCTCACTTTCCTCCCATATCCATATCCAAGTTTTGCAATGGGCTTAGAAATGCTAAGCAAAACAAACTTAGGTTACGAAGTTTTACCTTGAGTCCTGTTTTCTCATCATCACTTCCATTATTTGTAGATGGTGTCTCATCTCCTTGCCTGGAAACCAAGACAAAATCTTCACTATTAAGAGTAGATACTGAGTCTGAAGAGACACTGATTTTTCCAACAGAAGCCTTGTCATCCATAACTCAAGAATGAGTCTCAACACATGAATGATTAAATATTTTTTAATGCCTGGAAAACAAAAACCATAAAGATACTCAGATAGAATGTCTGCCAGATATTCAATTACACTCTACTTCTTACACAACATATACTGCATTCTTTTTAAATGCTTCAAAAATACTTTTCTAAGACTTTCACTACTTATAGCTTAGGGTTTTTTTTTTTTAATTCCAGATAAAAAGGGAATTTCATGCCATTCAAGACAAAGATATTTCCGACTTCAAAAAAATAAATAAAACATATTCCCTTCAGGATAACTCTAACTACTTACAGTGATTTCTTTGGGCTAAGTTGCAATTCAAGTCTTAGCCTCCAAAAAGATATAAGTATTAGCCTTCTGTTTTCCCTTTTTTTTTTTTTTTTTTTGAGACGGAGTCTTGCTTTGTCACCCAGGCTAGAATGCAGTGGTGGATCTCAACTCATTGCAAGCTCCGCCTCCCAGGTTCATGCCATTCTCTTGTCTCAGCCTCCTGAGTAGCTGGGACTACAGGCACCCGCCACCATGCCCAGCTAATTTTTTTTTGGTATTTTTAGAAGAGACGGGGTTTCAACGTGTTAGCCAGGATGGTCTCGATCTCCTGACCTCATGATCCGCCCGCCTCAGCCTCCCAAAAAGCTGAGATTACAGGCATGAGCCACCGCGCCCAGTCTAGCCTTCTGTTTTCTACCCTCTAATTTTTAAAGTTGTAAATGTAAATGAAAAGGAAAGCACTTAGTTATTGTGAGGGTACAACAAGGTTTTCCTAGAATTACTGACACTTAAGTTTAAAATACTAACATGGTTTTAAAAGGCCAAATTTCACATTTACGCCCAACAGAAAAAAATTCAAGGCAGTTAAATTTTAGCATAAATTCTAGAGCTGGGAAATACCTTACAAAGCAAGAAATGAGAAGTTCATTAAAAACTGCATCTTCCCACACCAGTTTCTTAGAACTCAGCTCAATATGAACATTACCCAAATAAGAGTTTTATACCAAAAATTCCTAGCAAAAAGTATAAAGAAGTGTCACTTAAGAAAATTCAGGCCGGGCGCGGTGGCTCAAGCCTGTAATCCCAGCACTTTGGGAGGCCAAGACGGGTGGATCACCAGGTCAGGAGATCGAGACCATCCTGGCTAACACAGTGAAACCCCGTCTCTACTAAAAAATACAAAAAACTACCCGGGCGAGGTGGCGGGCGCCTGTAGTCCCAGCTACTCCGGAGCCTGAGGCAGGAGAATGGCGTGAACCCGGGAGGCGGAACTTGCAGTGAGCCGAGATTCGAGCACTGCACTCCAGCCTAGGCGACAGAGCGAGACTCTGTCTCAAAAAAAAAAAAAAAAAAAAAAAGAAAATTCATTCAATTATTTATTGACTCTTGGAATAAAACTTAAACTCACCATCATTTTTAAACCTAGTTCTGCAAACTTTGTGGCAATGTTTCATTTGGTTGTCAAAACATCAACAAAACAATATAACGTTACACTCAGAGATTTAACTAACAAAAGCAGCTGTGGCTCCATGTTCATCTAGTACCCCAGAGATGTAAGGTTCTAAAAATCTGTTTACTTTTCTGATTGGGCAGTCCTTATTTATGCTTTGGATTTTTGATCATTGACTATATATTTATGGAGCATACACCATATGTCAAACACAATTTTCCCCTAAAAGGTCCACATATAAACACCTGGCAGGAGAAACTACACAATCCCTGAGTACTATAGTTGGAAGAAAACTTAGAAATCTAAAATCAAGTCGATGGCAAGGTAAAAAGAAGGAAAAAAAAAATCTTACAAATCAATACTGTTAGATAAAGAAATGGCAACCCCGAGAAAAGGTCATTTAACCAGTTAATGGCACAGCTAAGGCTAGAACCCTGGACTCTCTGTTGCCTTTTATTTAAACTAATTCCCCTGCTTAACAGCTATTACACATCTGCATTTCATAAGACCAAATCTAAATACATAGCATGGCATTCAAAAACATTTCAAATTGTACTTCTGAAAAATTCAAAGAAAAATGTTTTACTTAATTCATTCAATGAATACTTATTGAGTGGTTAATGTATAAAGAGCAAGCTACGGTAAACAAAAGAAAATAGATCCTTGACCCAAAGTTTATACTTTAGTAGAGAACAGAGGCAAATCGTACTTAATAAGTACTGATTTAGGGTACAGAAAATTATGGGAACATGCTGGGAGAGGGACTAACTTAGACCTTAGCTAAGGATATATACTTTATTCCTTTAGATATTTGCCCTTACAGGATTCTCTTCCTGAAGGTTTCCTCACTTCTGTACTTAATCAACTCCAACTCATCACTCATGATGTAAAATCTCCCTCTCTTAGTAGTCTTCTCAGTCCACTTGCCCATTCCCACCCCAGAATCAAATGAACTGTTTCCCTTATATCTGTTCCTACAGCATTTTACATTTGATTTTTCTACAGTATCTATTATGTTGTTTCTTAATGGTGCCTTTTAATTTGTCACATCTCTATTTCACAAATGAGGAAATTAAGTCTTAGAGAGATGGTGTAACTTGTTCAATGTAATGTGGTTAGAGTCAAAGTCAAAAATTAAACCCAGTTATCTGACTCCAAAGGTTATACTCTTTCCATTAGATTATGAAGTCTTTCTAATGCCATAAATTTGGGTCTTGTCCCAAAACACTCAGTATTGGGTAAAGGAGTCTTTATCTTTTTTTCAAAATTTGTACTTTAAGTTTTCATGCTCAATCAATTAAGTCTTTTATCCATCTTTTATAATGTGATTAACAGTTGGATGGCAGAGGGCCTGGGAAAGTGGTCTAAAGCTCTGGTCTCAGAGACACTAACAACTTTGTATACCACTACTCTGGACTCAAAAGCAATGTACTTTGGTAATTACACTAAGGAACTGAGATTTGGCAAGCTCAAAGTTCCACCTACTTTCTTTGAGAAGGTGATAGGAAAATACACTTTATAAAATACTTTATTATTTGTTTTGGCAACTGAAAGTAACTGAATCACTCAGCAGGAATGAGGTTTATCAAAACACTAACTAGTACAGGAAAAATTATACAATAAGATTCCTTTTCTCTGGCCTCCATGGACAGAAGTGAAGAGGGAGCAGTCCATCAGCTCCACAAACTTAGATAGAACCATCCATTCCCAGGCCTCCATAATGAAGAAGTACCCCAGAACTTGCTGCACTTCTGGCAAATTCTAGAGATTCACAACTTCTGTCTCAAGACCGTAAGGGATTTCTTTTTAATCCCTACTCACATCAGTTACCATAAGAAGTCCCCTACTCTAATTCTTCATCCTTCAAACTTTAATTCTAATTCCCATTGACAATAAAGTATCAAAATTCCTCCCTCCAACACCCTGCACTGCCACTTCACTTCTCCATAGCACCTATAACCGCTTGACATGTATTTTAGTAATTTAAGTATAATGTAAACTAGAACCTAAGGTTCATGAGGGCAGGGATTTTTGTGTCTGATTAAGTGTTGGATCCCTGGCACCTGTAATAATGCCTGGCACATAGCAGGTGCTCAACTATTTGTTAAAGAAGTAGGATAAATAGCAAATAAAGATGGAAAAGAGCAAGAGCCACCCAAGGAGAAAGTAAGCCCACCTTTTATAAATTGACAAAAAGAACAGAGGTCGTATTTGTGATGCTGAAGCACATAATTATGAGTTAAGAAAAACCTACAATTATGAGTTAAGAAAAACCTAAGTTAAAATACTGGTTTTGGGCGGGCACAGTGGCTCATGCCTGTAACCCCAGCACTTTGGGAGGCCGAGGCGGGTGGATCCGAGGTCAAGAGATTGAGACCATCCTGGCCAACATAGTGAAACCCCGTCTGTACTAAAAATATAAAACTTAGCTGGGCATGGTGGCACACGCCTGTAGTCCCAGCTACTCGGGAGGCTGAGTAAGGAGAATTGCCTGAACTCGGGAGGCGGAGCTTGCCGTGAGCCAAGATTGTGCCACTTCACTCCAGCCTGGCAACAGAGCAAGACTCCGTCTCAAAAAAAAAAAAAAAAAAAAATACTGGTTCTACTACTAATAGTATAAGCCTGTCACACCAAGCCTCAGTTTCCATAGAGGTGATGTTATACTATCGATCTCATAGAGCTAGTGTACAAATTACTAAGGACTATACATAAAACATTTAACAATACACAAAAAACATTATAAGCACCCAATAGTTATAGCTTTTCAAAAACTAACTTCAAATTCAAAAAAATTTAAGTTATTAACTGATTTAAGTAATCCAAATTAAAATACTTCATACTATCTCTACTTCTTGGCTTATGTCTACAGTGCCTGTATGAATTAATTTGGTTGTTAGTTGGGAAACACATTACTGAGGAAAAAAATAAATTAATTTCCTAATTTCACATTCTAAGTTGTTAATATCTAAATAAAAGCAAAATAGCACTTTGAATAAAAATCCTTTATGTATCACAGAAAGGAATAAAATGTACACATTTTTATCTCATTTTATCATCCTAACAATTCTGTAAGATAGATAGAATAAGGATTATTATCCCATTTGAAATAAGATACATATTGCCTGGTATTTGGTACGTAGGCATTCAGTTTGTCTTCTTCTTTTATAGAAGTGACGAGCCCAGATCCTTGTAACAAGTCCAATTACCAACAGCGCAGGTTGGTGGATGCAAGTTCAAGGATGCTTGTATTTTTGAGACAGGTTCTTGCTGTGTCGCCCAGGCTGGAATGTGGTAGTGTGATCATAGCTCACTGCAGCCTCGAACTCCCGGGCTCAGGTGATCCTCCTACCTCCGCCTCCTGAGTAGCTAGGACCACAAGTGTGTGCCACCACACCTAGCTAATCTTTTTTAAAAATTTCTCAGCTGGGCGCAGTGGCTCACACCTGTAATCCCAGCACTCCAGGAGGCTGAGGCGGGCAGATCACGAGGTCAGGAGATCGAGACCATCCTGGCTAACATGGTGAAACCCTGTCTCTACAAAAAAAGAAAAAATTAGCCAAGTATGGTGGCGGGCACCTGTAGTCCCAG